AGATCAATGGAATAGAATTGAGATTCCAGAAGCAAAACCTCAACTTCTCAACCAACTCATCTTCAACAAAGCCCCCACCACCTACCACTGGGGAGAGGAGAACCTATACAGCAAATATTGCTGGGAAAACTGACTGACCACATACAGAAGATTGAAACAGGACCCCTATCTATCCCCATGCACAAAGGTTAACTCCAAATGGATCAGAGACCTAAATGTAAAACCTCAAACCATAAGAACCATAGAAAAGGAAGGAAATACCCTCATGGAAATTGGAACTGGCATCCAATTCCTGAACAAAACCCAAAACCCACAGGTCATAAGAGAGAAGATAGACAAGTGAGACCTTATTAAACTGACAAGCTTCTGCAAAGCCAAAGAAACCATCAAGAGAGCAGGGAGATAGCCTACAAACTGGGAAAAAGTATTTGCCAACTCCAGGTCTGACAAAGGCTTAACATCCTGGATCTACAAGGAACTCAAACATGCTGAAAAGAAAAAACAAACAACCCCATTATAAAATGGGCAAAAGATATGAACAGACACTTCACAAAAGAAGACATCCGAGCAGCCAACAAACACATGAAGAAATGCTCAACCTCACTAATTATCAGGGAGATGCAAATCAAAACCACACTGAGATACCACCTAACTCCAGTCAGAATGGCAGTTATCAACAACTCAAAAAATAAGAACTGCTGGAGAGGGTTTGGCGAAAAGGGAACACTTCTACACTGTTGTGGGAGTGCAAACTAGTGCAACCTCTGTGGAAAGCAGTGTGGCAATTCCTAAAAGCTCTAAAAACCGACCTTCCATATGACCCCGCAATCCCCCTACTGGGAATATACCCTGAAGACCTCAAATCACTCTATAAAAAAGATACCTGCACATGTATGTTTATCGCAGTGTTGTTCACAATAGCAAGAACCTGGAAACAACCATGCTGACACGATGGAATACTACGCAGCCATAAAAAAGAACAAAATCATGAATTTCGCAGCAACCTGGATGGAACTAGAGTCTATAATACTGAGTGACCTCTCACAGAAACAAAGATCCGAGTATCACTCATGTTCTCACTCATATAATGGACCTTGAACATCCAATGTAATACTATAAGAAAATGACTGACAGTACTGGGAAACTACGGGGGGGAGGGGGATGGGATTAACAGTCGCAAATATCTGTCTGGGGATGGGGAAACACCTCTTATCAACAGGGTGCCTGAATGAAACATAATTGTACACCTAACCCTTAACTGTACCCCACAAAATCATAATAAAAAATATTGATTAAAAAAAAAAGAAAATTAAGGACCAGAAATGAGGAGTAAAAAGTTAGGAATAAAAAAAATCCTAATAAAAAGTTATAAATTATTTCTAAAGGAAAATGTATGATTCAAAATGAGAATAGAGAAAAATAATAAATTAGAATAGGCCCATAAAAGTACAATTAAAAGAGTATAAATGAAGACACTAAACTTACATATATTAAGGTAATTGAGATATTTTAAGTAAATTGAGATATTAAATGAAAAAATTGTGAAGAAAACCCATAAGGTTTCCTTAGAAAAACAAATAATAATTAAAAAAATACACACCAGTTGGAAACAAACCTGCAAGGTAGTAATATGAGAAACGCTTGAACCCTTGCTGGTCTGACGTGACTCTGGCTTTGCAAGGCTAAGCCTTCACTAGTAGACTGTCCTGCTTGAAGAAAGTTCTAGAAGATGCCTAGGGACTCTGTCCTGTCCCCTGTACCTCCACCCCCAGCTAACTCATGTGGATATGTCTTTTACTCAGTTTAATACATGTGTTATATTCTATTTTGCAAAGGTTTTACTTTAGATTTTTGTTCTTCCATGTTCAGATATTATATATATTTGTAATTGTCATTATAGATTTGGAGTTCAAAAACTTTTGTCAATAAGTTAGATTTTTAAAAATTATTTGGGAGGTTTTTTTTCCCACTGAATTAATGCCTTTTATTGAATTATAAAACTTATTTCTTTTATTGATGAGCTACTTGAAATTTTTTGCTACATAAGTTTGGAGATTTTATATATTAAAAAGTGATATGTATTCAGTCATAGTTTCTTTCTTATAAATTTATTCTTTTCCTATGTCATTTTTTAGTTTTTGCAACAATACAAATATAGAAACTGAGGATTAGAAATATACAGTAATTTAGCTAGGATTAAATAGCTGAAGGACTTCAGAAATCACTTTACTGCAATTCTATCTCAAGTGAGAAACAGAAACAGTCAATTTACAGTTTTCTATTGTTAAAAAGTCTGATTAAATATAAAATCCTTGATTTGATGCAGCTGTTTCTTTATTGCTATCCTTAAGACCTCATCACAAGGAAATCTCCGTTCTTTGCTTTTGAAAATTCACCTTTAATTTGGAAAAAAAAAAAAAAAAGAAACTATGTAAGATAATAAGTGTTTACTGATGTTTTAAACTGCTTAGTTTCAAGATAATATATTTTTGTAGTAATAGATAGTTAACAGGCAGGCATAGTGGATATCATTAATAAACAACATTTGTGCAGAAGAACAAACATTGTAAAGATAGCCTAACTACTCTGTCCTTGGGTGTGGACTGTACTGAGAGAGTTTCATGGATAGAATGTATGTGGCAGGAGTGACAGTGTCAGGCTTCTGAGACTACATCAGTTCAGTTAACACTGTAGCAACTCAGATTTACCTTTTCTGTAATATTTGTGATGTTTTTTTATTTTTATTTTTATTTTTTTTTGAGTTGGAGTCTCACTCTGTCACCCAGACTGGAGTGCAGTGGCTGCTCCCGGCCACCACAACCTCGACCCGCTGGGCTCTGGTGATCCTTCCACCTCAGCCTTTTGAGTAACCGGAATTACAGGCACGCACTACCATGCCCGGCTGATTTTTTGATTTATTGTAGAGATGAGGTCTCGCCAAGTTGCCCAGGCAGGTCTCGAACCCGCAGGCTCAGGCAATCCACTCACCTCAGCCTCCCAAAGCGTGGGATTACAGGCTGAACCACCGAGCCTGGCTTATTTGTGATGTTTTAAAACTAAGTTGGTCACAGGCTGGGTCTGCAGAGGCCAAATGTAGGTACCTTAGTCAATATCTGATTTCTATATATTAGAGTGAAGCTGCTCTCGGCATAGGTGATTTTCTTCATTGTTTTGGTGACTGTGTCATAATGTGCTTCTAAATATTTTCTTAGATATTTTGTGGTTGTCCCTTTGAACTTTACCATTTGTCTCCACTTATCTCAATCAGTGTGAAGGTGATGACTGAAATGTTAGAAATAGAAGCCAGATTCATTCCTAGATCTGAATGTGTAAGCTTTATAGGAAAAAATGTTGGAAGAATTTGTAGAGACTTATCTCTCTTCTATTTTCAGGAACTATGTACCCAGGATCTGGATTTTTGTTTTTTAATGTTAAAGTATTTTTAAAATTTGAATTGACAACTAAAAACCGTATATATTTGTGATTACAACATGTTTTGTTACATGTATACATTGTATATGGCTAAATTGAGCTAACATTTATTTCTTGATTTTATAGTTAAATATATCTTAAATTATAAAAGTAAAAAACTGAAATTCACCGGGCTCGGTGGCACAGCCTGTAATCCCGCGCTTTGGGAGGCTGAGGTGAGTGGATTTCCTGATCCCGCGGGTTCGAGACCCACCTGGGCAACTTGGCGAGACCTCATCTCTACAATAAAATAAAAAATCAGCCGGGCATGGTAGTGCGTGCCTGTAATTCCGGCTATTCCAAAGGCTGAGGCGGAAGGATCGCTGGAGCCCGGCAGGTAGAGGCTGCTGTGGCCGGGAGCGGCCACTGCACTCCAGTCTGGGCAACAGAGTGAGACTCCAACTCAGAAAAACAAACAAAACAAAACAAAAAATAAACAAAAAACAAACAAAAAAACTGAAATTCATTAAGTATATTCTTATATTGTAGTTTAAAAATTTTAAGCAAGTTGACAGGAAATACTTGAGAATGAAAAATATTTATTATTTCATAAAAGTAATATTACTCATAACTGAATCATCAGCAATGACACTGTTGCTTGCTAACATTTAGTCATTACTATGTTGTCTTTATCTTTGTAAGAAATCAAACTAAAGTAGCTGAACCTTGGCAAGTGTTTGTTACTTTAGGTCATATTCTTATCACTAATAATTATCTCCTTTTAAATGGAAATATCTAATAGGACCTTATTTCTTCCACTCAGGGAATTGCTCCAAAGCTGGAATTTTCTACAACTTCAGTGATTACTGAATGTCTGATAAGTTCAAGGAAGTGCCGCACTCAGGTTAAAGTCATTTATTTAAATATTTAATGGTTCAATTTATATACTCATCTTAATTGCCATTTGGCAAGCCTTATCCCTTTATTTTGGCTGTAGCTCTTTCTACTTTTCCTTGGTTATTTTTTAGTTTAGGTGAAACAATATAGAATTTAACATTTTTGGTTATATCTTTATAAATGTGAGAGTGAAAAGCTTGGTACACATGATACAGAAAGCCATTTTATTATTAGTCTTGTTATTTTACTACTTGGACTTATTTTTTTAATGCAGATAAATCTGGCTGTCCCAAAGATGTTGGGATCAAGAAGTCTCACAGAAATCTAGATTGTATGTTTCTGTAAATCTTTTAGAAGTTACAGGGTACTGCAGAAAGTTCAAAGAATACCTGTTTAGCAAATGTGACCAGAATTCTCAACCTGGGATATTGGTGTTTAGTGAGTGTGGTTTCTTGAGTATCTCTCATTTCTTAAGAGACTGTTATTCAGTTTTTTGGCCATACTTATGCTGTCAGATCAAGAGTGTCTTGGACATTGCAACCTAAGTACCTTCTGTGTTTTGAAAACTGCCATTTGACATTACAGCCTAAGTACCTTCTGAGTTTTTGAAAATTTCATGAGCTATCTGGTTCATTCTGGTCTAACTTCTTACTGAATCACTCGAGTGGTCTTGTTACCTTGTCCACAGGTTATCTTATAATGTCTAGTCATCACTCATGCAGTTGCATTGTGATTAAGTAACAATGACCTATCTATTATGAAGAGTCAGTAATATATAAAGCCCAGAGGGCTCAAATAGTGTAGACCTGGACCTATCATGGAAGGAATGGAATGTTAATTTACTGCATTCTCAGTTTTCAAGTAAATTTGATGAGAATGATAACTCTAAGGAAGGTAAAATATAGAATTATTGAGGGGACTATTCTTATTATGTTTAGCAGGGTATTTAGTATTTCAGCGTCAGGATATAGTTACTCATCTTTTAGATGCAAGCAGAAACACAGCTTTCAGAGATCCAACAACCTATGCTTGCCAGATGCAGAGATATGTTATTGACTTGTTTTGAGATGAACACTGTGCACATTTGTAAATTGTTAGAAATGCTTTGCTTGAACTTAATTTTTTTTCTCTACACTTGGGTATATCCTTAAAGTCAGCTGTGTTTTGGAGGTCAGGGAGATACTAAAAATGTATATGGGAGTTGCAGAAAGAGCTCTAGGGACTGGAGAGGTGAGGAGGGCACGTAACAGATTCAGTGAGAGTAAAAGGTAGGTTGAGGAAAAGAGACTTTGGTCAGCAAGGGATTTTCAGAGTTGAAGATGGAATTAATCTGCATAGCGATGAATCCAAGATACAGTAGAATTGTGAATAATTACACTTGAGAAATAGAAACTCTGATGGTCTTGGAAAGATTCATTGCTTGAATATTTTAGTAAACTTTAAAGATCTTTTCTAGTGCTAACATTCCTTGCTTCTGTGAGTCAATGTGATGTCATAGAGATGAATGAAATGGAGGTAAAAAAATATTCTGGATTACTTGTTGAAATCATTGAGCAAGGTGGGAGAAGGTCGAGGAGCATTATCAAGAACTACAGGAGAAAGAATGACGATGCAATTTGGTGCAACTAGTCAGTATGAAACTCATAGATTTATTTTTTGAATTAGGAAAATATATTTTCTTTCCTGTATATCTATTTTTAAAAATTTGACTCCTCTCTCTAGTCACATTTGTATTTTTTTTAGATAACCTTAGCAAATAAGAAGGAAAATTGAGGAAGTAGAGAGAGAGGTAGGATTGGTAGTTTGGAAATGTGATTAAAGTTGGGAAGACATTAAAAAATTCTCAGTAGTCCATTTTCTCTAATTGAAAAGCTTTTTATAACTCTAGATAAAGCATGAGGAGATATTACAGTATTTACTTTAATCCAGCTATTAAGGCATTTATAAGGCAGAGATTCTTTGAATAAAATGTTATTCTATAAGAACAAAGTTAGAAAATATCAAAAGTGTTTTTAACCTCAAAATTTTTAGACTGCTAACCAGTTTTTATTAGAAGATAATGTACCAATTATTGAAGTTTATGATATGTCTTTTATTCAGTTTTACTTTTATAAAATTATGGAATCAGAATTAAGAGGGTATGTTTATCTGTCATTGAATTGTAGTTATAGCTTGGCAGGGACCTTAAACTCCCGTTACCTTTTAATTATAGCCAAATGAATGAAACTTTATAGTTATCTCCATAAAGATTTCATAATCAGATAATTAGATGTGTTTTTAACATTGCTAAACATTGCTATTAAAATATAACTGATTATTTGAATAGTTAAATATAAATGATAATGTTTTCATTTAATTATTTTTTTGAAAAATATTTTTTTCTGAATTTTGTTTCCTAAATTTTTTAAGTGATTAAGTATTGGTCTTTAATTTTTATAAAGTCTTTGTTAGTTGGTTTTAAGAAAGAAGTTTGAAGCTGTATTCTTTTATTAATTACTATAGAAGAAATTATCTAGGAGAATATGAATTTGACTTCTCCCAGGATTTATACAGGTAGAAAGGACCAATCTAGTTAGTTTGATAGATCTTGTGTGTCTTAGAGTACTAAGACACACACAGCACTAAGACACACACACACAAAAGTGTTTTTCTATCAATACGAATTTTTTTAAAAGCTCTTTTATCCAAGTTAATTTTTTATTTTCTGTGTTTAGGATAAATTTATTTACCATTCGGCTCCAGTTGAAAAATCACACAGCAGACTGCAAGGCAAAACACCAAGATCACAAAAGAAAAAATCCAAGTCACCTGAGAGAAGTAAATATTGTATAAATGCAAAAAACTACGAACAGCCTACAATTTCTTCAAAATCACACTCTCCATCTCCCTATACCAAAAGACGCATGTGTGAGCTATCTGAAGATACCAGGCAGCGGCTGGCCCATTTAAATCTGGGACCCTATGAATTCAAAAAAGAAACAGATAAGCCTCCATTTGTAATTAGACATGTATGTGTTCTCTTAAATATTTCCATTTGAAACTGATCAAGTATGTTCCTCCACTAAAGTGTTACTCTGATATGTCTTTTAGCTTCTAGCTTATAGTAATATTTTTCTTTCCTGTTAGCCTAGCAATCTAAAAGGGAAAATTAGCTTAAAATAAGAGAACATGCTTTTTTCATTCTTTAAATGAAAAAATGAGAGATCAAGCTGCGTTATGTATGCCATGTTAAATCTTCTAAGTACTAGTTTCCTTTCTTTTTATACAGTGAACAGTGTATTAACTCCTCAAATTTAACTTGGTAGTAATTGACATCAGTAGTAAAATGGCAGAGTGGGGTTTGAAGTTAGAACCAAATCATCTTTATGGAAAGGAAGACTCCTATCCACCTCAGTCTTTTAAAAAATTATAATGGAAAGTATGTTTCCTCTGAAATTATGTCCTTTGGGTAACTTTTGTATAATGAATCTTTGAAGTAAATTATTATTTTGATGGAAATGGGAAGGTCTTTAAAAGTGGAGGTATCATAGTTTTAATCTTTCTGTATAGAAACCTGCTTTTGATATAGTTTTAGAGTCTTGTGTCCTTGTAATAGTCAAATGGACTTTGGCTAAATTTAAAGGTCTGTAATCAAAATATTTACTAAAGGACTCAGAATCTTTTTTTTTTTTTTTTTGAGTTGAATTCTCATTCTATTGCCTAGACTGGAGGGCAGTGGCACGCTCATGGCCACCCCAGCCTTGGCCTGCTAGGCTCAGGCAATCCTTCCACCTCAACCTTCCAAGTAGCTGGAACTACAGGCATGCACCGCCACCATGTCCAGCTAATTTTTTGATTTATTGTAGAGATGAGGTCTTGCCAAGTTGCCCAGGCCAGTCTCGAGCCCGTGAGCTCAGGCAATCCTCTCACCTCAGCCTCCCAAAGTGCTGGGATTATAGGCGTGAGCCACCACCGTGCCCAGCCCAGAATCTTTATAGTTTCCTGAATATTTACTAATTACTTTTACCTTAAAACAATTTTTTGACCAAAAGCTTTCAAATTAATAAACTAATTAACATAACATATTAATATATATAATACTAAACCTCAATATTTAAGTATTTCTAGATGCAAAGCAGTTTTTTTGGATATCTAAAAATAATTCTGTCTTTAATTCACTTTTTCTAAATTTTAAAATGAATTAATCCAGCATATAAAAATATACTGTTTTAGTGGTCTAATAGCTTTTTGAACATGTACGATCTGAAAATTCAGATTATTTTTGTGATACCTTTTAAAAACAATTTAAATGTGCTTTAAGCAACATTTCATTCCATCTTTATATTTTGACTATAAATTATGTATTCTTTTAATGTTAAGTAATGGATTTTTATTAGAAAATGTATAGTATGTTGGATACTTTTAGATGGCAGTATTTTATTGAGGTTATTATGATTACTTTTCTCATTTCTATAGAATTTGATTGTAAATTCTGGTCACATTTTTTGTTGTTCTTTGAACAATATTCAGATAGTGTTTCAGTTTCATGTTTGATGGCTTGTTTAGAATGCTTTTAATTTTATATATCCCCGCATTTACAAATTAGTTGAAAGGATATACTATATTGTCATCTGAAAGAATAGTAACATTTTAATTAAAATGCCTATGTACAAGATAAGCATAAATATTGTCTGCGTTAGCCACATAAACATTGTTTAGGGAAATAACTGCTTTAGAATATTTGTTTTGTTATTACTTCCTATGTCAATATTCAGAATGGAATAATTCTAATATTGCTTGGTACAAACCTTGAAATTTTTATTTTAATGATTCCCCCTCCAGCTTTTCAATGAACAGAAATGTATACTTCTATGTCTCTACTTAGAAAATTGCCTACATTATTTGAATAGGAAACTGGATTTTTTCAATTGTATGTATGAACACAGAGGATTTTTTTTTTCCTTCACAGCCATTCATCATTTTAAAAGCGCTTAGAAAATTGGTAACCTAAAATAATTTTAACTTGTTACATGCATTTGCAAAATAGGACACTTTTAGGAAAGACATTCTAGTTTATGTACATGGTATGAAAAGTAATCCTAAAGATTAAAGAATCATTTAAAAATATCAATTAGCATGCTTCCAAACAAACTGGCACAATCATCCTGGAAGAGTTAAACAACCTTTTTATTTTTCATTTTGCAGAATAGGATTTTTTTCCTACTGTGGTAAAATAACATAACATAAAATTTACCATTTCAACCATTTTCAAGTGTACAATTCAGTGGCATTAGTGACAATCACAGTGCAGCTATCTGGTTCTAGAACCTTTTCATCTCCTAAATGGAAACTCTGTACTCATTCAGTACTCACTCCCCATTCCTTTCTTCCCCAGCTCTGACAACCACCACCTTCCATCCTGCCTCCCAGAGACCCTGGCAACCACCATTCTTTCTATTTCTATGAATTTGACTACCATTGGTACCTCATATGAGGGGAATTATATACTGTTTGTCCTTTTGTATAACTGACTTATTTTACTTAGCATAATGTCCTCAGAGTTCATCTATGTTTTGTAATGTATCAGTATTTCTTTCCCTTTTACAGGTAAATAATATTCTCTTATGTATGTATACCACATATATTTTTCCATTCATCTGTTGAAAGACACTTGAGTTGCTTCCATCTTCAGGATACTATGAATAATGTTCCTTTGAACATCGGTGTACTGTATGAATAATGCTGCTGTGAACATGGGTATATAAATATCTGTTTGAGCCCCAGCTTTAAACTTTTTTGGGTATATGGCCAGACGTAAAATAATGGAGTAATATGGTAATTCTGTTTTTAATATTTGAGAAATTGCTATGTTGTTTTCCATAGCAGCTATACCATTTCAACCAAAGAGTACACAGGTGTTCTAATCTCTTTGCATCTTCTTTAACGCTTGTTATTTGTTTTTGTAATAGCCATCCTAGTGGGTGTGAAGTTGTATCTTATTAAGATTTCAATTTCTATAACTCTAATGATGAGTGATGTTGAACATTTTTTTTCCATGTACTTATTGAGCATTTGTATACCTTCTTTGGAGAAATGACTGTCAAGTTCTTTGCCCATTTTAAAATCTATTTGTTATTTAGTTGTATGAGTTTTTTAAAAATGTATTCTAGATAATAGCCCTTAATCAGATGTATGGTTTGTAAATATTTTCTCTGATTCCATGGGTTACCTTTTTATTCTCTTGATGTTGTTCTTTGATGCCCTAAAGTTATTAATGTAGATGAATAGGGATAACTTTTTTATACATTTGTATCATTCAGACTTTTTTGTTTAGAAAATGTGGTTCACTATTATTATAGTAAGTCATAAATCACTGAGCATGGAAGACTCTGAACACAGCCAAGTAAAGATACTCTTTTTTTTTTTTGAGTTGGAGTCTCACTCTGTCACCCAGACTGGAGTGCAGTGGCCGCTCCCGGCCACTGCAGCCTCGACCCGCTGGGCTCCAGTGATCCTTCCGCCTCAGCCATCCAAGTAGCTGAAACTACAGGCACGCGCTACCATGCCCGGCTCATTTTTGATTTATTGTACAGGTGAGGTCTCGCCAAGTTGCCCAGGCGGGTCTCGAACCCGCAGGCTCAGGCAATCCACTCACCTCAGCCTTCCAAAGGCATGGTATTACAGGCTGAGCCTTTGAATTCAAAATGTGCATGCTAAGGAGATAAGTAGCAACTGGCTAGACTTCTTTTTTAAATATGGTAAAGTATAGTGCTCTTCTTTTGACATTGTAATGGAAAACAAACTAGGCAATGGAATAATGAACATTTCAGCTGCAAATATGTTCATGTTAAAGTAGGCACAAATATGTAATTAACAATTTCTGAGGTTTAGTTTCAATTTTATTCAAAAATTAACAAAATTACTTGAATACACTCTGACTTTGGAATGTGCCTGACTTCTTTGGGCATCATCAGATTGTTAACCTGTTGATATATGTTTTGTGCATTCTAGTAGTTTTTCTGATGCCATGAGATTCAAAGACTGGGAATGTTTAAGCTCTTTTTTTTACATTGAAAACCTGCTTCCTCTAGGTTGATCCCCCAAGTCCCAGGACTGAAACTGTTTTTGGATCTTCCAGCAGAGACTGTGAAAGAGATGGATGGTCAAGGATGCACAATGGTAGGCTAGAAGTTTTCTTTCTATGCTGCCTTAGTTGCTTGAGCTATAGTCAAGCCTTTGTTTGCATTGATTAACAAAACAGAATCTTTGCTATGTTGTTCGTAACATAGTATAGTGTAGCTTTTTACAACTTATGATATACCCATATAGGTATTCTCTAAAATAATACGTTTGTGGTGCTATAAACCATCTCTCTCTTTCGCTCTGAGATTCAAAATGCATATAAACATTAAAAGCTGTGATATATTCTAGCAAAAATAACTTGATTAATTTTGTTTTGCTCAGTATTTTCTAAATTAGTTTGACTGTGGAACCCTTTTCTCACCAAGCAGTTTTAAGTACTTTGATAATCAGTTTATTTATTAAGAATGAAGATAACATGGCAAATGTTGCCACATAAAATATTCTACTATCCAAGACGCTTATACATATCAGCTGCCATTATAATTATACAAGTTTTTTTACTTTGCTGGAGTCCCATCATGCTTTGTTCCCTGACTGACACAAGTTATCACGCCACATTCTGTTTTGTATTTGGCAAAGACTTCCAACATGCACGTATGTGTTTTCTCTTTAATAGCACTGGGAATATCTTAGGTTTCCTTTCAGCTTTCTTCAAAGAAAATTTGGCAATCTCCTTTCTTGTAAATATGTTGTACTTTCACATACATACATACATACATACATAAAAAATTATATTATTATATTTCTAAAAAGATAACTTTGTTACTTAAGTTTATAAGAATTTTTTTTTCACTTTTAGCCTTAGTCCTTATGGTTAGATAAGTTGCTTCTTGATTCCAATATGAAGATGATTTTTATAAGAAAGTTTAAATATTATTATATAATTAAGGGTATTGAGTGTTAATATCTGTGGACATTGGGCTAGTGAGTTCAGCAAGTATTCACTAGCAGCCTTTAAAGCTAATTTACTACATGCTGAGTGGTAGAGCAGAAAAATAGAGTCATAGCATTGAATAAGCTCCATCTCTTTCTGTTTCTAAACTGTAGTATACAATCTCTCTTTTCAAACAAGTAAATTAAATGTTCTTTTAATATGCAGGGTTCATGCTTGTTTATTTTGTTTTTTTACCACTAATAGGGACATAGATGTGCAATAATCAATAAGTCTTTTATATCCAGAAAAGCAGATTATGTGAAATTAGAAACAAATATTACACTCTGTTTCTCCTCTTTGAAGAATCTTATGTACATGGAAAATGAGCTTTAAGAACAAGTCAATAGAAAATAACTTCAATATAGATGTTTCTTTGGAAGATTTTTAGAAACATTTAAGCATCTTATTTTTCTTGACAATTTCATATTTGTCAGCAGAACTGTTAACTTTTCTATAACTTTTAATCAAAGCAGTCAGCTACTTATGTAGAGCATAAGCATGATTCGAAAGGTCAATGATGAGTTACTTTTTTTAAAAAGTTATTTTGACACAATATCAGACTTACTAAAAAGTAGAAATAGCACAAGGAATTGCCATATATTTTTCATTCAGAATCTACAGATAGTAATATTTACTCTCCTTTTCTGTTGCCCCTCTTTGCCTTCTTCTCTGTGTATTTGTGTATAAGTTTTTTGACAAAGACATTATTATGGACTGAATTGTGTTCCTAAAAATTCATATATTGAAGCCTTAATTCCTAATATGATTGTCTTTGGAGATAAGTTCTTTGGGAGGTGAGGAGTTTTAGATAAGGTAAAAAGGGTGAGGGCCTCATTATGGCATTAGTGTCTTTATAAGGAAAGAAACCAGGGAGCTTGCTATCCTATTCTCTCCCTGCCCTATGATCCCCAAGTAAAAGGAACCCATCTACAAGCCAGGAAGAGAGAACTCACCAGAACTTGACCATGCTAACACCCTGATCGCCAACTTTCAGTCTTCAGAACTGTGAGAAATTTCTGATGCTTAAGTTATCATTTTGTTATGGAAGCCTGAGCAGACTAATACAGACATTATTTTGTGTGATACAAATTAAAGCAGGTCTTTTTTTTTTTTTAAATCAATATTTTTTATTATGTTGTGTGGTACAGTTAAGGGTTAGGTATACAATTACGTTTCATTCAGGCACCCTGTTGATAAGAGGTGTTTCCCCATCCTCAGACAGATATTTGCTACTGTTAATCCCATCTCCACCCCCCCATAGTTTCCCAGTACCGTCAGTCATTTTCTTATAGTATTACATTGGATGTTCAAGGTCCATTATATGAGTGAGAACATGTGATACTCGGATCTTTGTTTCTGTGAGAGGTCACTCAGTATTATAGACTCTAGTTCCATCCAGGTTGCTGCGAAATTCATGATTTTGTTCTTTTTTATGCCTGCATAGTGTTCCATCGTGTATTTAACAATGCATGGAATTTACAATGATATCATAATGTTAACTAATCTCTAAACCTAAATTAGATTTTGCCAGTTGTCCTAATGATATCTTCATAGCAAATAAATAAATAAATCTCATAATGTATATGTAGCATTCAGCTGCTATGTCTCTTTACTCTTTAGTTTTTATTAATATGGATTCGTTCATTAATCTTTCTTTGTGTTTAATGACATTGATAATTTTGGATAACATAGGGCAGTTATTTTGTAGAATGTTCCTCAGTTTGGTGTTTGTTTGATTTTTTTAATGATTAGATTTAGGTTATTTATTTTTCCCCAGAATACAACAGAAGTGATGTGTTACTATCAGTGCATCATGCCAGGAGGTATGTAGTATTGCTCTGTTACTGATGGTGTTAATTTTGCTTGGTTAAGATGGTGTCTGCCAGGTTTCTCCATCAAAAAGTTGCCATTTCTTTCTTTTACAAGTACAGGAATATACTTTGAATCTATGTAATATCTTATTACACCTTAACTTTGACTTTTTTAGCATGCATGGATGATTCTTGCCTGTGCCAATTTATTACTGTGATTGTTGACAGTGATTTTAATTTTGATTTTATTTTTGGTTATTTTTATTTTATTATTATTTTGTTTTATTTTATTTTGAGACAGGGGCTCACTCTGTTGCCCAGGCTGGAGTGCCTGGCACAACCATAGCTCACTGTAACCCTGAATTTTTGGACTCAAGTGGTCCTCCCACCTCAGCCTCCTGAATAGCTAGATTACAGGTACATTCCACTATACCTTGCTAATGTTTTTAAAAAAATTTAGTAGAAATGAGATCTCACTATGTTGTCCAGTCTGGTCTTGAACTCCTGGACTCAAGCAATCCACCGTGGCTTCCCACATGCATGAACCACTGTACCTGGCCTCAACTAGTGTTTTCTTAAAGTGTTATTACCCTTTGTACATTTATCAGTGCGTTTTCTAATAAGAAGAATTTTTACTTCTTGTTTCTCTAATTTTAATGGCTTTATTCTTTTGACTACACTTTTTTTTTCTTGCCTGTCATCTGAGTTGTTCTCATCAACTATTTAAATGTATTTGAGAGTTTCTTATGGTAGCACTTTAAACACAGTGAATTTTTATTTTTGCTCTTACTTTTATAGAAATTCTTCTTGAACATTTCTTTGCCAGATTATCTTGCCCACTTTTTTTTTTTTTGAGTTGTAGTCTCATTCTGTCACCCAGACTGGAATGCAGTAACCGCTCCTGGCCACCGCAGCCTCGACCAGCTGGGATCCGGCGATCCTTCCGCCTCAGCCTTCCGAGTAGCCGGAATTACAGGCACACACTACCACGTCTGGCTAATTTTTTGATTTATTGTAGCGATGAGGTCTCTCCTGCCCAGGCGGGTCTTGAACCCTCGGGCTCAGGCAACCCACTCACCTCAGCCTCCCAAAGGCGCGGGATTACAGGCTGAGCCAACAAGCCCGGCTTGCCCAAGTTTTTATAAGGTGTTGTTTTCACCAGTATTTTCTCATTTGGTCCTCATAATAATCATGTGTAGATGGATTTATTTTGTAGAATTTTCCTCAGTTTGGGGTTTGTTTGATTTATATTTGATTGGGAAAAATGGCAGAGGTTTAGAGAAGTTAAATGACCTGTTGGAGAACTGCAAATCTAGAATCCAAATCTTCTAGCCCCAAGTTCTTTCTTTTCTACCAGTCTCATATTTTCATTAAGGTATATTTTTAAAAAAAATAAAAATTTTCAAGTTCATTATCTCTATCTGTAACTGCTTTGGTATATAGTTCTCATTGTAATTTGTGTCATCCTTTTGAAGAAACTCAGTATCCCTTGTGATGAAAGACTGTTTGGAAGCTTTATCTAGTCAGTTTTGTATTTGAAGAGAAAACCAAGGGCTTCATCTTGGCCTGGTGATTTGCTTATGGATTTAGGAAACATGTTAGACTCTGTCTCCCCACATGGAGAAAGCTTATTTGCTTCATTTGAAGATTCTTTTAAGACTTTTACTTCTATATGACATTGTAATCTTTTATGGATTTCCACTAATCTTTTTGTTTGATGGTACTGTTATAAAGTAAAATAAATTAGAGACAACATTCCAAATCCTAGTAAGTCATATCTTAAGTAGACAATAACTAATAATGTTTAGTGTTTTCTGAATGAAATAGCATGTAGTCTTCATGTACATATTCATTATCAAAATATCTCATTTGTCTCAATTAGCTTTTAAATTTGTCTCTTCTGCTTGGATTTATCTTACAAAGCAGTAGCAACTGAACAGTGTCATTTCTGTACATTCCTAGAAATGATACTGTTTTGATTCAATGTTTTTAAAAGCTCTATTGAGATAAATTTATGTATCATAAAATTCACCTGTTTTAAATATATAACTAAATGATTTTTAATAATTTGCACAGTTGTGGAATCACCATCACAATTTACTTTTAGAACTCTCACCCTCAGTCCCTGGAATGTTTCAGCTTTTTGGCTATTATGAATAAAGCTGCTAGGAATATTTGCACTGAAGTCTTTGTATAGACATATGTTTTCATTTTTCTTGGATAGATACTAGGAATGAAATTACTGATTTATATGGTAAATTTATATTTAACTTTTCAAAAAATTTTCAGCT